ATTTAGATAAGGCTAAAGAGGTCTTTGTGGCATTTATGGATTTGGAAAAGGCGTATGACAGGGTGGATAGGGGGGCAATGTGGCAGATGTTGCAAGTGTATGGTGTAGGAGGTAGGTTACTGAAAGCAGTGAAGAGTTTTTACGAGGATAGTGAGGCTCAAGTTAGAGTATGTAGAAAAGAGGGAAATTTTTTCCCAGTAAAAGTAGGCCTTAGACAAGGATGTGTGATGTCACCGTGGTTGTTTAATATATTTATAGATGGGGTTGTAAGAGAAGTAAATGCGAGGGTCTGGCAAGAGGCGTGGAGTTAAAAGATAAAGAATCACACACAGGGTGGGAGTTGTCACAGCTGCTCTTTGCTGATGACACTGTGCTCTTTTGGGGGATTCTGAAGAGAAGCTGCAGACATTGGTGGATGAATTTGGTAGGGTGTGCAAAAGAAGAAAATTAAAGGTGAATACAGGAAAGAGTAAGGTTATGAGGATAACAAAAGATTAGGTGATGAAAGATTGAATATCAGATTGGAGGGAGAGAGTATGGAGGAGGTGAACGTATTCAGATATTGGGAGTGGACGTGTCAGCGGATGGGTCTATGAAAGATGAGGTGAATCATAGAATTGATGAGGGAAAAAGAGTGAGTGGTGCACTTAGGAGTCTGTGGAGACAGAGAACTTTGTCCTTGGAGGCAAAGAGGGGAATGTATGAGAGTATAGTTTTACCAACGCTCTTATATGGGTGTGAAGCATGGGTGATGAATGTTGCAGCGAGGAGAAGGCTGGAGACGGTGGAGATGTCATGTCTGAGGGCAATGTGTGGTGTGAATATAATGCAGAGAATTCGTAGTTTGGAAGTTAGGAGGAGGTGCGGGATTACCAAAACTGTTGTCCAGAGGCTGAGGAAGGGTTGTTGAGGTGGTTCGGACATGTAGAGAGAATGGAGCGAAACAGAATAACTTCAAGAGTGTATCAGTCTGTAGTGGAAGGAAGGCGGGGTAGGGGTCGGCCTAGAAAGGGTTGGAGGGAGGGGGTAAAGGAGGTTTTGTGTGCGAGGGCTTGGACTTCCAGCAGGCATGCGTGAGCGGTTTGATGGGAGTGAATGGAGACAAAGGGTTTTTTTAATCTTACGTGCTTTTGGGATGGGAGAAAGTAACTTTATGAAGGGTTTTCGGGGAAACCGCACCCGGGATTTGATCCTGGAGAGGGGAATACAGTCCTGCACTCTGAAGGGGGGTTTTTAATTTTTGCAGTTTAAAAACTTAGTGTAAAGCACCCTTCTGGCAAGACAGTGAGGGAGTAAAAGAGGTGAAATTTTTTTCTTTTTCGGCCCACCCCCCTTTGGGGGAATCGCCATGTGATAAAAAAATAATAATAAATATAGCTTCAGTGAAACACTTTATCCCACACCCCCAACCCACCTAAAACCTCCTTGCCACCCGATTTCACATTCTGTCTTACCTCTAATTTTTCAATAATAACCCTACCGTACACTTTTCCTGGATACCACTAAACTTTTTCCCTCTATAATTTTTACAATCCTTTGTCCCCCCCCCCTTTATAAAAAGGGACTCACATGCTCCCCCCCAACCCCCTGGGTACCTTCCCCTCTTTAACATTTATTAAAAAAAATACCAACCTTTCTAACAACCCCCCCCCCTGCTTTTAAACTTTCGTCATACCCCCTCATTCCAGCGCTTTACCCCCTTTCATTCTATGTAATGCCTTTACGCACCCCCCATCTCACACCCTGCTCTTCTTTACTCCTAAAAGATGGTATACCTCCCGGCCATGCAGAAATTTCCTCCTCCCCCTTTTTTCCGACATTTAAAAGTTTTTCAAAATTTCCGCCATCACCAAAACCTCCATCCCCCTACTCTTTTTTTAACTGAAAATCCATTCGTTCCCCAGGGTTTCTTAACTTGGGGTTTAAACCCGTCCAAAAAATTTTCTTATGTTCATTAAAATTTCGCATGCCTCCCCACTCTATCATCCCCCTCCTTTTGCCCTTTCTCACCCCCGTTCACCCCTTTTTTTTTACCCCATATCCACTCTTTTTATAACACTTTTGCGGGGGGGGGGTACCCCTCATAAGCTATCTTTTTCTCTTTTATCACACCCTTTACTTCATCATTCCACCAATCACTCCTCTTTCCTCCTGCCCCCACCCTCCTATAACCACAAACTTCTGCCCCACATTCTAATACTGCATTTTTAAAACTATTCCAACCATCTTCAACCCCCCCATTACTCATACTTGCACCAGCCCACCTTCCTGCCAATAGTTGCTTATATTTCACCCGAACTTCCTCCTCCCTTAGTTTATACACTTTCACTTCCCTCTTACTTATTTATTTATCATATCATAAAATTGATGAGGGAAAAAAGGTGAGTGGTGCGTTGAGGTATATGTGGAGACAAAAAACATTATCTATGAAGGCAAAGAAGGGAATGTATGAAAGTATAGTAGTACCAACACTCTTATATGGGTGTGAAGCTTGGGTTGTGAATGCAGCAGTGAGGAGGCGGTTGGAGGCAGTGGAGATGTCCTGTCTAAGGGCAATGTGTGGTGTAAATATTATGCAGAAAATTCGGAGTGTGGAAATTAGGAGAAGGTGTGGAGTTAATAAAAGTATTAGTCAGAGGGCTGAAGAGGGTTTGTTGAGGTGGTTTGGTCATTTAGAGAGAATGGATCAAAGTAGAATGACATGGAGAGCATTTAAATCTGTAGGGGAAGGAAGGCGGGGTAGGGGTCGTCCTCAAAAAGGATGGAAGGGGTAAGGGAGGTTTTGTGGGCGAGGGGCTTGGACTTCCAGCAGGCATGCGTGAGCGTGTTCGATAGGAATGAATTGAGACGAATGGTATTTGGGACCTGACGATCTGTTGGAGTGTGAGCAGGGTAATATTTAGTGAAAGGATTCAGGGAAACCGGTTATTTTTATATAGCCGGACTTGAGTCCTGGAAATGGGAAGTACAATGCCTGCAGTCTAAAGGAGGGGTTCGGGATATTGGCAGTTTAGAGGGATATGTTGTGTATCTTTATACCTATATGCTTCTAAGCTGTTGTGTTCTGAGCACCTCTGCAAAAACAGTGATTATGTGTGAGTGAGGTGAAAGAGTTGAATGATGATTAAAGTATTTTCTTTTTGGGGATTTTCTTTCTTTTTGGGTCACCCTGCCTCGGTGGGAGACGGCAGACTTGTTAAAAAAAAAAAATCATATTCATATTCGACTTATGATATTTTTCAACTTATGTTGGGTTCATCGGAACGTAACCCCATCATAAGTCAAGGAGAACCTGTACTGCATACATTTTTAAAAGAGCCATTCAATAAATCTGTTAAAATATCTTTCTCTGTGATTTCTACTACTTCCCTTCCTCTCGTCTCTGGGCTTGGCCTTCACCTACAGCTGGCATCAAAAACACATGCCCAAAAGTATGCCTTTAGCAGACTATTTGCCTTAAAGATCTTAGCATACTGACAAAGGACCCCTTTATTGAGTTTTTCAGACTTTAATGCCTGGCCTGGAAAATTCATTGGACTTAAATCCGATAGAGAGCATTTGGAACCTTGTTGAATGTAAGTCGTGGCATGAACATTGTCCTCTAATCCCAAAACCTCAAATGCCAATAAGCAAGTGTTGGAGGGTATTAACTTTTCTATCCTCCATAAGTTCAATTTCAATTTATTTATTTCAGCATGATACAATATTTGTACAGAGATGGGTGACATTTAGGTGCATATGCAGAAATCTCCTCAGTATGCAGAGCATTTTGGGCCTTATCAGTGCCTAGGAGACTTAAGGAATGTATCAAAAGGAAGAGCAATCCTATGAAATACCAGTATAGGTAAGGAACACATACATATTTCAGTATCATACATTTTTAAAACTCACTGGCTGTCTTCCACCGAGGCAGGCGATCCATAAAATAAACAATTTCACCTTCATTCACACTATCACTGTCTTGCCTGATGTATGCAGATAGGCCAGTTCAGATGTCCCTCCAAACAGCAAACATTAGTTAGGAGGGGACACTTGAACTGTCGTATCTAAATCTAATGCCCTTTACTGTAATACCCACTGGGTATAGCTTCTAGAAACACCTCATCAGTTGACAATGTTGGTTTCTGATATATTAAACTCAATAATTTCTTTCAACACAATGGCAATTTTCCACCAAGGTATGGCCACCAAAAAAAAAAAAAAAAAATCATTAACACCTCTTCATTGATAGCTTCTGTTTCTAAATTTCTTGCCATTCTAAGCAAAACATAATTTTTTTTTATATATAAATGGCCACAACTAGCCTGAATAAGCAAGATATTACTCAGTGGTTGTGCCCTGTATTGGACCCTGCTGGATATAACTTAGTAGAAGGGATCTCTACTGGACCCTGATAGATGTTACTCAGTGGTAGGGCTCTGTATTTTACCATGCTAGATATAACAGAGCAGTAGGGCCCTGTGCTGAACCGTGCTGGGAAGAACTTACAGGGCTTCCCTTCAGACCCTCCAGAATTCAGAGATTCTCAATGTTTTCTCTATCATTAACCCCAGCAGCTTGATGTATTTCTCCATTTACCCCCTTACTTCCATACAAAAAATTTATCGCTATCATAAAGGGACAGAAAAAAAAGGTCAGAAAAAAATAAATTATTCAGGTTTTGCACAAAAATAGCACACATTTACCCCTTGCCATGTAATTTTTTTTTACCCCAAGGGGTAAATTTACCCCTGGTTGAGACTCACTGCTCTAGATGATACCCACTACATTTCTGGGTCCATCACTACACAGCATTAATTAACATTATATTCAACAGAAGCATTAAACCAGCAAAGATCATACAATATATACAGGAAGGGCAGAAGTGTGGGGGAAATCAGGTTTGATCTGAGAAATGAGAGAGCAGTTGGATCAAGAGCCTTTCACAGCCCTCAAGGCACCCTTCTTAAAGGAACATATTACATTAATGAATGCCAAATTATGCAGCAAACCCAACTTACTTCTGTGACCTTGAGGTGTAGGTGTTGATTCTCTGGTAGTTTGGATTGGTTCCTCATACTCATCATCAGCCCCAAACAACTGGGACTTGGCCAGCTGTACAGTCCTGGGGACGACTCGGGATAAAACAGCAAGACGCTCCGAACTTGGAGATAAAACACTCAGAGAGGCACTCTCCTCTGTGAGAGGAACATTTTTATTTGCAAAATAATATATATATAAGAGTTATACAATAAGATCACAGTAAACAGGTGATATCACAATATGCAAAATAATCACTGTGAAAAAATATTAAATTTTAAGAGCTTTTGTGAGAAATCATGAAAGAGCTTGGAATTTCACTGTTTTTTCACCGTGGTCATTTTGCATATAAGAATTATGTTATGTTCAAAGAAGTTTCTGCACAAAAATTATACCAGGTACAGGTTGAATATCCCTTATCTGAAATGCCTGGAGACAGAAGTGTATCGGATTTTGGAACTTTAAGGATTTTGAAATATAATGAGATATCTTGAGGATGGGACCCAAGTCTAAACATGCAGTTTTATACAATATTATTAATAACAAAAGGTTTTCAGTCACTACCTACGATGCTGTTTTTTTTAATAAAAGGCTACTATGTATAATTTTTCTTATCACTGTTACCCATAGTGATATCTGTAGGACTGTTGGAAATCTTCAACAATATCTCTGTACCATAGAGCAGAGAATAAGCACAAAACACATAGTAACCACGGTGAGTTATACACATGGGTCTGGCAGTGACAACGGTTTATAACAAAATGGTGCCAACAGAGGCTCAAAACCCCATCCAGGGCATGAGGTCGCATGTTGCAACTGACTGGGTATGCAGAGATCTGCACAATACCTAAGAACTACCCCAAAGCAGATTGAAATTTTCCATTTGTAGTGTCACGTCAGCACTCGAAAAAAGTTTTGAATTTCGGAGTACATATTTCTGAATTTCAGAATTTTGGATATGGAATACTCAACCTGTATTATGAAACTACAGACAAATACAGTTAACCCTCTAATAAAACAACACTACATAGTGCAACTGTGTGTAAATGAAACTGAGAAGAGCAACCAAAATTGCATAGTACATGACAAAGCCTTGATAGCACACTCAAGTGTGGAGGTACTAAGTGCAAAATCTGTGTATTATACCTCAAGTATACCTGAAGAGTGTTTCGGGGGCAATCAATGCCCTCACAGCCAAGTCCAGGACTGGGCTTAAGCAGCATGAAATTTTCCCCTCTGGCTAAGAATCAAGTGTTTAGAAAGTTACAGTTCCGCCCCTTCCCCACTGCCACCAACAATGCTTACAGTTTATGGAGTGTTACATGAATTACTCACACTGTCTTTACAAAACAAATTTAGATAAACCACAGAACATGGGTTATGGAAGTGCATAACCCAATCGGCCAGCAAGGTTCAAACCCCAACCATTCCATGGTTTGTTTGTGAGCATGTTAATATCCATCTCTGGATATCAACCATGGGAATCAATAAGCATTAATCTTTTGATGAAATTAAATAAAACAATTCCATATTATTAGTAAAGTTTCTGGTCATTTCTGCTGAAAAGGACCCTGACATGTCTAGAAGGCTCGCTCTGAAGCAGGGTCTGGAGTAAGCAATGAAGCCATAGTGTCTGTGCTATGAAGTATTGCAGGGTAAAACAGACCAGAGATGCATTACAGAACTTCACTGAGTGCTTCAGTTAAATCATCAACTGACAACTTTGAATCAACATCAACACAAGAATCAAAATCATCCATCTCGACCCAGTAGGGACTCATCGACCTTTTCCATATGCGTCCATGTCAACAAGCAACAACAACTACAATACAGTATTACATAAACTGTATTAGTCTGTATGTATTGTAATACACAGTGTACACAGTGAAAAAATTATTTGGGAAAATTGAAGTTTTATGGAACATAACCCTATTTTTCATGTGAGTTCTTCACTTCATATACTGTTAATTTCCATAAGGTGATGATTTTTCACAAATGCATCCCATGCATTATGAGAGGGTTTATTGTATACAAGTTGCAATGGTTGGATGTGAATAGGAGTACCCTAGTATGAGCCAGTAGGTCTACTACAGTGCTTCCCTATTTTTATATTCTTAAGAACCAATGTGTTAATGAATATGAATAATCAGTAGACAGGTGAAGATCTGAAGGAAAAATGAGACATACCAGGCTCCTTTGCAATGGTAGAGTCCATGACTTCATCCTCTGGCACCTGTATATCTTGATGAGGGCTGTCTAGGTACCTTGGCTGAGACACCTATAATAGAAAAGTAAAAACATTTCACTACAGAATAACTCAACCTGGATGTTTGGTAATCACCAGGGAAGTCTGGTCTTATGAACACATTGTAGGCAAACACTAACACTTGAAACCAGCAATTAATAAAAGATTTACAGTTAGCATCAAACTAGGGTTCTCAATACCTTACAATCAAGAAAACACCTAAAAGGGTTAGGTATTAGGAATGTAAGAGTGTAATGGGTGTAAAGTAGTACACCAAAGAAGTATTATTAACCATGTTGACCTTGTGTATCCCAATTTGTAGGATACACAAGGTCAACATTAACTATCACACAGTATATGTCTTGCCATTAAATGCATGATGCTACAATTCAAAGAACCCCTCATAACACCCTCACCCATCATCAAGTGCTGCAGTCCTGAACACCTGTTTCTAGGCCCAGGAATTGATTACCTCAGTTTCTACCTCTCCAGTCTTCTGTACTGTAGTGACAGAGCCACTGGTTGGTGAAACGTCTACATAGTAAAGATAACCAGATGCTGACGAAAATTAGACGTGTGCAACATCTGAGTATCTTTATTGTAGACGTTTTGCCAAACAGTGACTCTTTCAATACAAATTCAAAGACATACCCAGATGTTGCACGTGTCTAATTTATTATATTGTCAGAATTGTTTACAACTGATATTCATGCTTACATATGTCTACTCTTTGCAAGATTTCAGGTACGTCTTGCTACTTCTACTTACACTTAGGTCACACTACACATACATGTACAAGCATATAATATACACACACCCCTCTGGGTTTTCTGCTATTTTCTTTCTAGTTCTTGTTTTTGTTTATTTCCTCTTATCTCCATGGGGAAGTGGAACAGAATTCTTCCTCCGTAAGCCATGCGTGTTGTAAGAGGCGACTAAAATGCCAGGAGCAAGGGGCTAGTAACCCCTTCTCCCGTATAAATTACTAAATTTAAAAAGAGAAACTTTCGTTTTTCTTTTTGGGCCACCCTGCCTCGGTGGGATACGGCCGGTTTGCTGAAAAAAAAAAAAATATGTCTACTCTATGTTTACCTTCCCCCCCAACCTATCAAAACATTTAACACCTTCCTTCCCACCCTGTTTCTGATGTATCCCACACCACCTTCCATCTGCCAATGATTCATATACCTTTCTTTTTTTATCAACCACAAGGCTACAAATTAGAAATAAAACCTCAAAAATTGTCCATCCTGGGAAATTTCATCAATAACAAGCTGAATAGAATAAAGCCAAGTAATATACAAGTTTTATCATCCTGTTGGTGAATGGAAGAGATAATAACTATATGTATCATGAGACTTCAGAAGGAAGAGAAATGGGGAACTAGTCAGGATTTTGAGTTCTGAAAGCAGGGGTGGGATGGTAAGGTTGCAGTTCAGTGGGTCAACATTGGACAGCACGTCCTGTGTCCTGGGAAGACAGCCACAGTGATTGATAATTTAATTTTTTAAATTGCCAGCCTAAGTGAAAAACAGCCAATAAGAATGTTTAAAAAAAAAATTGTGCATAAGAATACATTATGTGAGAACCATGGGAAAAGAAATGCCTTTCTGGAAACAACATATGTGTTTAGAAGAAATTATGTATATAACTGTCTATGCACCTCTATATTTTGGTATTCATTTCATTTGAAAACAAAGAATAAATTGAAATGCATCACATCTTGTAATGTTTGTAACATATTGACAAAGCTCCTGGAGAGCTTTGTCAATATGTTACAAACATTTTGTTGGAAATTCTACCTTTATTACTAATCACATCTACTTTACTCTCAATAAAACAAAGATAATCACTCATATACATTTCACCTCAAGAATAAAAAGTAAATGAATGATACCAAGAGAAAGTAATCACCAGTGACAGCTCACCTGCTTGGAAGAAAGACCTGACATTGTCATTTGCCCAAGACCAAACTGTGGGGAGGATGTCAGTGTCGTCACGGGAGGACCTGAAATACGCATGGTTAGAGCAGGCAGCTGGGTGGTGGCCGCAGCAGCGCCACTTTGAGCTGTACTTTGGGGAGGGGTTGGTTGACTCTGATTAGTCTTGGGAGAAACGGTGACCATCGCTTCTTCTTCATTATCCTCTTGTAGCCCGTACTTTGAAAAATGTTTCACCTAAAAATAATTAAAAAAGATTTAACCAAATTATAAAATTCAGTCAAGTTCATAGCCAAAGATAAAAAGTACTGAAGAGTTTACAATACCAAAAATGGAACATAATAGTCCTTCCTAAGCTGCTTGAAAGGCATAATGCAAAAATGAATGAAAATAAAACAAATAGCAGAACAAACCTTTACTGGGTCAATATTAACTCTAAGTAAAGTATTTTTAAGTCATGACTTCAAAAAACTCTGCTCTAGAGTGAATTATCCCAATATAGGCACTGTCCTGCTTTATGTACCTTCCTTAAAATAATAGTGTAAAACAATCTTTTAGTAACACATATATCTAATAAAAAGAGGACACACATTCACCATCACTTGTTTAAATACTGTACTGCCAGAAATGTGCAGACATCACAGTTCAGACAGAACTCTGAACTACATCATCCTCACCCCTCCTGAGTGTAGACAGTGTACATTCGACCTCCAGGGCTTAAGTGTGGCTAACAGATTTCCCTAAATCCCAGCATTACTGAGGGGCCATATTCTATAGGAAACTATCCATAAAACAGCCACTTTAAGAATTTTCTTGTACACTACTGTACACAGAACAATACAAGTCAAGATTATACAATGCCTCAGCTTTCACACTAACAAACAACACACTGCCCCTACCCTCCCAACTAAGGGTCAACACCAGTGATACTGTGTGTTATTGTATAATGTAAAACAAATTATATACACCAAGAGACCAACAACATGGAGTAATATGCAAATTTATTATTATTATTATTATTATTATTATTATTATTATCACCTATGGAATAGGAAGCAATAAGGTTCAAACCACGGAAGATAAGCTAATACCTTGGATCAAGAGCCCCTTACTGACATAACATATAAGTTCTTTATAGGGTCTTCACAAAAAAAATTATTTTAATTATCATTCAAGTTTTAGCTGTATTTTACAATTAAACACTTAAAATGTAAATGAACAAGATTTTTATTTAAGAAATATTTATGTTAAATGAGCCTTCCACTCTTGAGAAATTATGTAAATTATGTTTGGAAACTTAGCATCACTGAAAATTGTCACATTGTGGCTGGCACTACTCAGCATAAACCTGCACTTAGAAGAGGAACCTTATGACAAACCTTACGTAACAGAAACCTTACGAAGTTTTGGTCCATCCATCCTGATCCATTGTCAGTTCACAACTGGGGACTTGAAATTCAAGAACAAAAGTCACAATACTGTAACTGGAACAATACACAAGTAACCTGCACGTAGGAGAGAGAAGCTTATGGCAATGTTTCAGACTAACTTGGACTTTGTAAGTGGTCCAAGTCGAACTAAAAGGTCATCGTAAGCTTCTCTCTCCTATGTGTGGGTTATTTGAGCACTGGCAATTGAAATTCAAATTATTTCTTTTTACACTGTACAAAAATAATGTAGTTTACATGTAATAAAACATTATTAGGCACAAAAGAAAGCCACTAATATGCAATGTATTTCAGGCACACTAGCCCTGATACTTATACACTACTTAAAAATTAGACAATAGACTATTAAGTAGGATTTCTTATGCAGTTAACTACAATTACAATGGTCTAAGACATATTAAAACATCATGAAGTTCCTCTTCTACCTGTTGGTGTCTGGTAAATTGTTATTATTTCTTGAGGTGGAAGGCACGTCTCATAAGTAAAAATATGCAAGAGAACAACCGATTTTAATAGAAATACATGTACTTATTAAAATCAGTGATAGAGTTTTATATATATACAACAAGTGGTCCAATTCTATCTGAAGTAATATTATCAAGCATGGGGAAGCAGTAAACCTATTAGGGCTATACAGCACCTAGGAAATAGGTTTGATCTGAGGAAGGTAAAGGCAGCTTTAAATTCTTGGATCAAAAGCCTTTCAACATCATAAAGCCTTTGATATTTATAAATTAACTTAAGGTTAATATCTTGAGTCCCGTGATAAATAAGGAACTCAAGAAATAGCCTAATTGATGAAAAAAATATATATAATTTTGATTACCTGTCATTACTAAGAAAAAATTAATAAACATGGAGTGCTTTTTTACAGTCAGGCCTCATAAGTTCAAAATTCTTACCAATGAAAACATCTCTGTAATAAAAAACTGAAGAGATAAGGGAACACTTAAGTAAAATATCTTGCCCAGACATTAGTTTTATTTAGAAAAAAATAAATGTGCCAGCAATATATGAAACGGAGCACATCAGCAGGCTATATTGCAGTGCAGTCACTCCCCTCATGTGTTAGTCCAGCTACAGTTTTGTTCATGCTTCAGAAGATAAAAGCAGCAGTGTGTGGAGAGATGTTAATAAAGAATGGAGAAGTGACAGCAGTCAGACATGGAGCACATTATAAAAAAATAAGAATTTATTTATTCTCTGCAGTATACAGGTAATGTAGTTTACACGTAATAAAATATATTGTTGTTGTTAGGGACAAAAAAGGCCACTAGCATGCAGTGCATTTTGGGCAAGGAAAGATGGGAAGATGTGGGGGGAGGGAGGGGTGTAGGCAGGAAGAAAAAAAAATAGGAGAACAGTAGGACTAAACATGGGGATCTTTCTTGCAATCTAAGTTGGTTAAGCCATGAACTTGACAAAATTTTGTTACTTTCATGTTAGGCTGTACAAGGTTTTGTGTGGTTTTGGGTAAATATGTAAAACTGGGCTGAGTACAAGATATATAATGCATAATGATCTAATTCTGAATCAGCAAGGAAATTACTACTTTTCTAATATTTTTTCTAGAAATTAGGGGCACTAACCAGTAGTTCATGGCTTCATACCTGTCTATTATTCAAATATTGTACATTATTGTTTGCTATCATACAGTCATCTGTCACTTCATCATTAAGATTTGTGAAAGATGCGAGTGATTGATCTGCATATTATTATGGCATCTCTCTTCATTCTTAACATTCTATTAGATCCTGATACATTGCTGTATAAAGTTTCACCACGAATCTCATTACCTCATTATTCAAGATTTTATTTTTTCCCCTTTACTTATTCTCCCTTCTAATTCTGAAACTGACTCTTGGCCATTTGTAAACAATAAAATCTTCCATTAAAAGCATTGCATACTTAAGTTATTTCCAGTATATTCTCTCCTGCTGTCTCACTGTTAGCACCTGATCCCTTATTGTTACTTTTCTTTTAGTTTTGTCTTTACCTTGGTTGCTATTTAGATTTCATAGTTATTCAATATCACTTCAACATTCCTCACCTGACCTTTTATATCACTATGCTCCTTATAAATATTCATGTACTCTCTGCTCAGGTAGGTCTGTGTGCCTTGAAGAGTTCACTGTGAGGGCAACATGTAGACAATGAAGGATCACATTATACTGCATTTGGGTAATTTTTCCAAGGCTTCTTACCCATTTTAAGACTCCAATGTCTACACCTGGTGAAATGCTTTACTGCAGTAGCTTGCAGCCTCTGGCTCTGTCATTCTCAACTCTGTTGTATTATATGTTTTTGCTTCATCATCTGTCAAAGATGTCGCACTTTAATACTCGCCACAACACACATCTTCCATTTGTAAGCATATGTAGCAATAAACCATACCCCCGGCCGGGATTGAACCCGCGGTCATAGAGTCTCAAAACTCCAGCCCTATGGTGTAGAAATATACCTAGTTGGATGAATCTTATTGTGGCTAGCTGGTCTAGTGGTTAGCGCGACGGGCTGGAGTTTTGAGACTATATGTAGCAATAGTTTTTAAGTAAAAATCCTACTGTAGCTTCTTGATATCTATTATATGTATTTGATATACAGTATATGTCCATTAAGTGAGCTACTTATAATTACTGGCATTTTGGTTTCATCCCTCTGTAACCAAGTCCCTCAACTCAATTTTCCAACTTACAACTTGACAAGTATGAGTTATCACACTGCCCCCATCGTCAGCAGCGGAAGTCTTCCAGTTGAATGCTTCATGGTTGTCAACCTTCTGTAGTTACTGAACAATAATTCACAATACAGTAGGTGAAGCAATTCACAAATAACCAATATTTTCATGTGGAAACTAGACAAATAAAAAATCTTTCTAAACCATTATGTCACAAATCTTGCAGTTCTCCATGGGGAACTGGAGAAGAATCCTTCCTCCATAAGCCATGCATGTCGTAAGAGGCAACTAAAATGCCAGGAGCAAGATGGTAGTAACCCCTTCTCTTATATAAATTACTTAACGTAAAATAAAAATTTTCTTAAGTGTTTCTTCTTTTTCAGGTCACCCTGCCCTTTGGAGGGAGACTGCAGGGAGTAAAAAAAAAAAAAAAAATCTTGCAGTGACTTAAGATTATCATAACCTTTCTGCAATGATAACATTAATCATCACACTGGCATTACTGACATTCTGTGTCTCATTACTATTATGGATTCATCAAGACGATATCTTTATGTTCTGTCATTCTTTCAGCATTTTTTATGCAAGTTTACGAAAGTTTTCTTTAGTAGATTTAGACTATCCTTAATATCTTGCTTTCACATAGAATCTCCCTTCACAAAGGGGTTATCTCCATGTAAAATTTTGTCTGGGCTTTTTGCCTTCAAGGGTTAGAAGATTTTTTTGCAAGAACACCTAGAACATTACCCAAAGTATTTAGTATGTTCTCTGTCAGCCCATCCTCTTAATCACAGACATTTCACTGTTGTAAAGATAGCCAGATGGGACACTGATGACGATTACCTTAAGCAGTGAAAATCTGTCAGTTCCATCTACTGCACATGGTGGATGCCTACTCATGCAGCAGAAATTTTTGTATTTATATTATATTTACTTTTTCTCCCATTGTGGTATGCTATAATTGGTTAGTTTTTAAGGATAGAGGACAACATAACCTAATCAAGAAATTAGCTGCAAACTGCATTAGAAACCCACAGATTCTTATGGGACTCAATTAAGAGGCTGGTTTGTCTCCACTGCTGTATCAATTTGTGAAGTAAAACAAATACTGT